CATGTATATAATATCTATAATATATATCTATAATATATATAATATATATATAATATATATATATATATAATATATATAATATATAGAATATATCCCGACAGGTAACACTATCCTTAAGTAGAAATAATCATTACAAACAATAATTACTCTGCTACCAGCAGCTTGTAAAATACCAGAACTAAAGAATAACTGATTGCTTAGTTTGGTTACCATGACAATAGATGGACACCCGGTGCCAGGAATTATTTGCCAACCTAAAAACATGAGCTCAATCCTGACCCAATAACCACATAGCCAAACTAGTGGTAGGTTCCATTTTTGACATATCAAACTTGGCATATATAGGTATACCATGTTAATAATAATTCATTAAAAAATAAACTCAATAATTAATAAACATTTCATGCTGTTTAAATTTATTACCACATAGACATCAGAGGAATTAGAAAGCAAGTTTAAGAATTGACAAGCAAGAAGTAAAGCACATGTTTAACCTTTCACCTAGATTAGTGGTGCATGATTTGTTGTTTCTTTGGATGAGGGCCAACTTCACACTGCCTCTAGACCTTAGACTTGAATCTTGCTGGTGTTGTATTTAGTAATAGATAACATGTAAAATTTATGTCATCATGCGTATCCATGGAATACAAATAATAAATTGTGTGTTAAAATGTTAAATTGAGTGAGTGTTGTAGGCCCATTGAATTGAAAATGTAGAAGTAGACTGTAGAAGAAGGGAGAAGAAATAAGGTAGGCTTAGCACAGTGAAACACATGGTCCCAATGCTACTCCTTCCTACTGTCAGTGTCAGGCTGTGTGGTTTTGTCGGCTACTTGTTTACAGTTTATGCAAATTTACGTAGCTAGAGTGCATTTCCTTGTATTTTAAATTGTTTATAATTACACAATGCTTATCAACTCATCGTTAATTAGGGATGCAAGTTGACCCTGTGTATAAACAGAACATTTACCAGTGAATTTATAACAGCAAACTTTGGCTTTCTAGGGAAATGCCTAGGCACAAAAACGTAGGCCAACTTTTCCAAATCGTTATTTTTGTACTTTTTTAAAAGCGTACATGTGCCTTCAACCCCCTTCCCCAGCGTACATTTTGTACGCTCGTGAAAATGATGAAAATAATGGATGACCCCTTAGTGAACATTCTGATTTACAGTATTTGCTGCGAAGCAGCCAATTCATATTCTTGACAGCAATTTGACCTCTGAAAGGTCATTGTTTGTCAAAAATCAAGGGCCTAAGACGACTGAAAAGCGAAGTTTCCTTCTTTCGTTCTGCCGGGTAAAATCAATTATTTTAAGTGACGTTTGTAGACTAACCAACACGTACCAACATCCGCATGTCGCGCTAGCCTTATCCTACTATAGGCCTAGACTAGCTAGGATGGTATATATAGGCCTAGCCTTGAAGGGACGAAGGTCCCAATGAAAAACAACGTCGCTCCTTGATAGCTAACATTGTCTATTTAACATCACAATAATTCATTATTAGACCTATAGTTGTTTTTTGAATTGTACTCCACAAATCTCAGCTGATACCTCGCACAACTCGAGTAACGTCTCGTATCTATTGTCGTGACGTCATGACTCGCTGGCTCACACTTGCGATGTTTCGCACTTGTGATCAAATAACACGCTGGCTCGCAATTTGGCAACATTCTTTGGCAGTCAACTCGCCCCTAGAAAACCCGCCCTTGGAAACTTGCCCCATAAAAAAATGTACACTTCCTAGACCATGCAGTCTACAAAATAAAAATTGTAACCTTAGGTAATCAACTACATTTTCCACATACATAGAAATTTTTGAAACTTTATTAAAAAAAAATCTAAACCATAATTCACCACTATAGGCCTAGACACTTTTTGACAAAAATGAAAAATTATGACTTTGTTACCCAATGAGAAGTGTTCTAATATAGACAATGGGTCGTGTCTCATATTATTTGTTATATTTTTATTATTCATTATTTTCACTAGACTCGCGTAAATAATTTTGTTCGAAGAACATTTATATGCAGTTGTACTTCGCAGCACTTTACTTGCAATTTGCAATTTCTAGTTCAATAACTGTATATTTGATGAAGCCTTTGGAAAGGTTTTACTAGTAATGTTGAGGGTCTCCCGCCATGTATAACAAGAGGAGAGATGTTGAAGTTATAAACCACCTTAAAGGGCTCGATATAAGTGCATTATGTGTTTCAGGTCAGATTCACTCTAGAATTCTGAAAGAAAATGCTGAGGAGATTGGCCATACTGTATTATTTAATAAGTTAATAAACCAGGGAATTTTTCCTATGTCATGGAAGAGAGCACATGTCTTTCCCATATTTAAGAAGGACAACAAAAATTCACCTCCAAATTTTTGACCGGTTAGTTTAACCTCAGTCTTGTGAAAGACTGGAAAGAAGTGTGTATTTGGAAAGAAAAATTTAAAAAAAGATCAACAGCACAGTTATCGCAGCGGCAAATCCTGTGTCAAACAACTAATTGAAGTAACTTTGTTGTTTCCAGTGTGCTTCCAAAAACTGCTTTTACACCAAATTATTCTCAGTTTTATTTTACTTTTTACATATGGTAGGTGTTGGGCCATAAAAAACAAGTTGTTTTCTGGCCAATGTTGCTTGGCGGGCCGCACACATAGGGTTTTTAATTCATTTTCGCAGGCTGCAAAAAAATCGCTGGCGGGCCGCACTTTGCCCACCTGTGGTTTAAAACTAATTTGTTTCAAAAGTCCCAAATATTGATGAGATTATATTATAGTACTGTTGTTATTGTGGTTTCAATTTTCTTGAACAATATTTCAGTTTAGGCAATGAAAGAGCTGTCTTCATTTGTGATCATTATCATCATTATTATAATTATTTAATTGCTGTATTGTTTATTAATATAAAATAATGTTTCTTGTACAATATCATTCAACAGTATGTAATTGCTTCTAACAACTATTTTTCCTCAGATATTTTTGCGTTACTTTCACTAATTAAAACCAATTCAAATGTTGTTTGTTAATTTAAAATAATTTATAAATAGTAATAAGAATTGCAATTTATGGAATGTACAACTACTGCATTATGCAGTGGCTATATAATTTGCAACATGTTTATTAACTGATACTGTTACTGATTATAATCTTACTAACAGGAGTAGAGATTACCACACCACTGGTTATTCGTTTACTTTATTTATAGACAAACATTTTGTCCTGTTATAAATATTGATTAGTGGGAATAAAATTAGCATTTTTTTTCCCCTAGTAAATGTGGACTGTAAAACTGAAACCATTACAAAGTATAATAATTAAACTAAGACTTCTGGTTGACCAATAAAGAACATGGTAAAATTCTGACACTATGGGCATTTGAAACCTATGTTTTTAAAATTTGTAATCATATTTTAGCAATATTAAATTATATTGCTCTCCTCTTTCATTAATTTATTAAATAGTTTAATACATATTTTAGTAAGTACTCTCTTCTTGTATGCACATGTGGGCTCCTAAATAACACAGTTGTGGAGCTTTTATTGTGGTTAAAAAAACATTTTTTTGTTCTCACAACTAAAAACAACTCCAATCCCCTTACCTCCTAATGAGACTACAGGTCCACTTCCTATGCCTCGTGTTAAATGAGACTTAGTTTGCAAACATATAGAGCTACAATGGAGAACAGTAGCTTGCTATTGGACAGGCTCCCTAGTATAAATAAGAAATATATTTTAAAATTTTTTTGATGGTTATTAGTTGTCAAAGATTGTGAGTGTCTTGGCAACATAATTTTACCTATGTGATGCCAAGCAGCAAAATCATCAAGCAGTATTGATAGCTTGGGGTTGTCTTGAGAATTTAATCAGATGTGAAACATACATTGGTAAGTTACTCTCATCCGTGATGTTTCTGTAGAACAGTCTCGAGCAGAAAAATCTCAATGGTTTCTTTTGTTGCTGCTTTTTTCAGTGCCCAGTATGAGCAGGTTATTGCAAGGTCTTTCATCAGATCTCTTTGTGTGTATTTCACTATTTACATTTACATTGTTTAAATTATGTTAGCAGAAAATATTTATAATTATTAAAAACAATAGCAAAAGTAAACCCAAATTTAGATAATTTACTATTAAAAAGACCAGATAATTAAAATAATGATTTTTTAACTAAATGATCATATGCTAGAGAAATTGTTGATGTTCACAGCATACACTAATTTTGTGTATTCTTGTCAAGTAGTAAAATACAGTTAATCACTTGGAATATTGTTTGTATTATCTTGTTCTGTAGGCTGATAAAGTACATGAACTGGCTGAATCAATTGGCAAAAAAGTTATGGAAGCAGAGAAACTTGGAGCTGAGGGCAATGTAGAAGAATCAATGAAGATGATGCAGGAGGTTGAAGAAATAAGAAAGAAGAAAAGTGAAGCAGAGGTGGGTTAATTAGTAGTATAGTAAACAAAAAGAGAAATATTTAAATATTTTTTAGTTCAACAGATTCAAATACAATGAAGGAATCAAGCTTGCTTGAATTGGGTAGCTATAATCTATGCAGATAAATTTCACTACCTCATAGATTGAAACAGTGTAGTTGATCAGGAATTCTAAGTGGATCAGTGGTGGATCCAGGAAATTGTAATAGAAGGGGCCCAAAGAGGGACTTTCACAGATGGATGGTCAATACTACCTCAGGCCCACCATGGTTGGGGCTGAGTAAGAAAAATTTTGATTAAGCCACCTCTAGATGGCCGGAAATGGCATTCTTAGACTTAAATTTGAATATATAATTTTCTTTTTTTTTCGTTTTTTTTTTTAATTTTGAAAAAATTAAAGGGCCCCGGTCCACCCCCCTCCCTTTGAATCCGCCTATGATATAAATGTAGATCAGTGTAATAGCTGTGGATAAAATAGAATGCAATATGACAATTTCTTTTTAAGAGTATTGAACCAGTATGAACTTTCTAAATTCTTTGATATTGTGTTACAATCATTACACATTTTTTCCATTAAAAATTTTGATTAATTTCCATTATGATTTTTTTTTCACATTTTTTTTCTACCTTAATTTATTATTTTCCAGTGTTTTTTTATTTTATTTTTTATTTTTTATTTTTTTGTACTGAAATTAACTCAAACAAGGCTCGAAAGCCACTTCTAGGTAAGGGGTTACTTTATCATTTATTTGTATGCCATGAAAATGCTTGACATAAGCCTGAGCCACTTGACAGCCTGTCCAGTGTCAACAATGCAAGTTGGGGTATCTAAGCATGGCCAGTGAGATTGGACAGCTTGTGGTTTGAATTCCTGACCACAAGTTCAACAACCAGAATGGAAACCACTAAGCCAAACCGTCTTCACCAGAATTATAATTGTAGTTACTAGAAAAAAAATGAGATCAATTCTTGAAATACAATTGTTAAAAATTCTAGTATATTAAATTTTTGTCAAGTTAGATTTTTGGAATGGTAATTTATGGCTAAAAAATACCTCAATTTATATTTATTTTTTCAGATGCAAATTGTTCCTAAAGTGATTCTTAATATGTATACTCACATGATGATATAAATGTTATTTTAAGCAATAAAACCTTGTGTTATGCCTGGCTAACAAATATTGTTTGGGGCATATCTATTTACTGTGAAGCAGCTCATATATTCTTGGATTTAAAATTTCATTCATTCATTCATGGATTTTATTCAATAATATTCAATATAAAAAATTCAGGCAAAAAAGTTAAAATTACAATTATGTCATAAAAACAACAAAATTACCATTAAAAAAAAAAGAGTAAGTGAATAAATAATTAACGGGGGAACAGAAGGCAGTATAATGTATTGTAGACGAATCTAAATTGCACATTATTTACATTGCCCTGGTGGGAGTCATTAAAACAGTACATTAAAAAGCGAATAAGCCATTGCTTATAATATATAGGAAGGAATTTCAATCTATTCACATATGCTGCATCTATTCACATATGTTCCATCTGTTTACGTGTGCTGCATCCATACATGGGTGTCATATTTATGTGTAGGTTGTGTGGATGCAAAAAAGATGCATGGATGTTCCATCCATTTACTGGCTACATCCATTTACAATGTGATTCATTCATGCCATAAATCATCCATGCATGATTGCATCTATTCACATGCTACGTCCATGCAAGGGTGTCATATCCATGCATGGGTGTCATATCCATGCATGGTTACTGCATCTCTGCATGGATGTTCTATCCATTCACATGTGCTTCATCCATTCAAATAGGATTTATCCATACATCGGTACTGCATTCATTCATACATGCTGCATTTGTGTATGGGTGCATAATGTTGCTAGCAGAATACAACTAGCCTAGTTATTTAAGATTATTTTTTTCTATGGTTGTGTGAATGCAGGAAGAATACCGTCAATCCATGCCAGCATCAACCTACCAGCAACAGAAACTACGTGTGTGTGAAGTATGTTCAGCATACTTGGGTCTTCAAGATAATGACAGGCGTCTAGCTGATCACTTTGGTGGCAAATTGCACCTGGGTTTCATTGAAATTCGTGAAAAGCTTGCAGCTTTAAAGGTACGGTAGTTTGTTAAAATATGTTTAAACCAATGTCTATGCTAAGGCGTCATCTCCACCGGTTTTTGAACGACTGAATCACATTCTGACGCGTTTTCTATTGTATTCCGATAAGCTATCCGAAAGCGCTCACAAATGCTGTTAGCCAGGGTGCGTTTATTCATGTTTGAAGCCGTTAGCTCATTGCTCCACCCCCCCCCCCCCTTTAAATGGTTGACTGATTACACGTTTAGACACGTTTGTGTGCCTGACTGTATTTTATGATACGATTGTTGATGTTTAACACAACTTACCGGGGTGCATGATAATCATTGTTTTGTGTTCCATAAAACCACACATTGCGCCCAATCTTAAGCCTATCTCTTTCACGTTCGGCGGCGCCTAGGCCTAGCCAGTCCTTTTCCGTTGTTGTGACCACAGACGATCGGGCCAACCACAGCACGAGACGATCGGGCCCATCTGTGGACCTAGTGTGGACTATTGGGCCCACTTTCATTCTGATTCATTATTGTGTTCCAATACTTTAACATAAGGTGTTTAAGAATCTTAATTAAAATGATCATGAAATATATTTATGCCAGTACAGTACATCAAACATCAGCAAGTACGAACGACAGCCATGGGCTAAAAGGATTTGCCTGCATGATCTTGTTGAGCCCAATCGTCATGAAAATAGGCCTGATGAATTTCTTTGTGCACATCGTCTGGAATGGGAAAATTCCATGACGTTGGTTTGATTGGTACACTACATGTGTGTTTAATGTTAATATTATTTCATGTAAACAAAAAATTGTATATACCGGTACCCCTGCCGACCCATACAAATATATTTCTTTTCAGCTGTTTGAATAAATTTACTGAAAATTCAAATGTTCTTCTGCAAAATTTAATGAGTCGTCTTTCTCAGGTTACAGTGGTAGCCATCGGGGAGGCAAGTTGCTTAAGCTTCCCTCTACATCACTTGCTCTATGGCTCGTCGGGCAGTGTACTACAGTACAGTGCAATTTCGGAAGCGATGTATAAAACATTCTGTATTTTTGTATGTTTTCATTAAATTCACTGAATGTCTAATAATAATAAACATCCTAATACAATTATACAGTACTGTACGCTTATAAACATATGTATTAACTTTAAAATATTGTAATAAACATGTTAAATTTACTGTATGATGATCAATTTGAGGGCCTGGGTAGGGCAAGCATTTAGTGTTGACCTTTTGACCTATTGCTGCATATCAATTAAAAGTTTGTTGTTGTACCCACCGCCGTGTTGTTAAAACTATCATGCCTTGGCTTTGGTAACTGATTATAAGCCTATTTTTGTAAAATAAGGATGGTGTTTATTCCTGATACATCCCGGCCGGATGAGTCCGCTGGCTAAACGAGTGACATTCATGTTGTAGTAGCTTAGGCAACACTAACCAAGGGCCTTGCCTTGACAAGCTAGTGGCAGCCTAGGCCTACCTCACACTTTCTTCACACACGTGCGACACTCGAATCAGCAGCATCGCAAGACAGGCAGTTGTTTTTTTTTACAACAAAGCACATTAACAAGTTTGTGTTGAACAAACAATGTTGAATCTATGGCAGTTAAGTCCTAGGCCCAGCCAGAAAGCCTTAAAATACTTGAACGTCCAAATGCTACCAAGCACGTTTGGACGCATTTCTGTCGAACCTCGGTCCTCCTCTGGCTAAGCTAATGAATATTCAATGAGAATATAATGAGGTTGGTGAATTTCTCAAATGCGATCGGAATGACGTCATTCTCAAACGTCTTTCTGCTGTTCGAAAATCGGTGGAGATGACGCCTAATGCTGTGTCATGTAATTGTGCCCTATTGCTTGAAAACATTCTTGGTTAAATATTAAAGCAATACGTGAGAACTTTATTTCTCCTCCATCCAAGGCTTGGAATAAACTATTATCGGTATTCTGTGGATTATTGAATGCTTATTTTGATGCCTGACCTCACCAAATAATAATTGTACTATGGAATTTACCAAAAATTCAACAACTATGGCTTCATTTTTTTTTCCTTTTCCAATTGAGCATATTTACTGTAAAATAGTATGATTTAGAAGGGATGCACTTTGTGACTAGTTTAAGCGTAACAAATTTTAAAAAAATATATTGCAAAACAAATCCTGTTTCCAAATTTTCAAGTGTAAAACTGGTGGAATTTCATCTATTGCGTTTTGTGGATTTCTCACCAGCCTTTGGAAGGTAGATTCATTGTAGTAGTCAATGTATTTCCAGGCGCTAACAATGTGCATCAACCAATCCATTTGTTGTGTTGCATTATCTGTCATCATGCATAGTGTACAAACTAAAAAAAAAAACTTAAATGTAAGTTAGCACATATATATGAAATGTGTCTGTTACCTGAGAAAAGAAATTACGTATTAATTGTTAAGTATTAAATATACATACAGTGGTGCAAATTTTCTATATAGTTTACTAAATGGTAATTGATATTCATGAGGAAAGCCGTTGACTTTGTTGTTGTTGTTTCTTCCTGCAGAATGCTGGAATTTTGAATGTTGTTAAGTTGTTTGGTCTTAGATGCTCACTTTTAGCTATTGTCGATCCTAATATTTCCTTCAAAGGGTACCCTATTTGTTTGTTGAGCCATCCAGGAAGTAGTTTAGGTACGCTTCTGCTGCGTAGCATATGGCAATATTGATCTTTTGCTGCTACTTGCAGCAGCAAGCGTAAATCCTGAATCTCAAAATCATTTGAAATTGCAGCAAATGTTTGTAATGTCATAGAATAAATTCAGCAAACCTGAAAATAAAGTGGAATATAGTAAAGGAAAAATGACGAGAATTTTAAATAATATAACACAAATTACAAAGTTAAATGTGCTAAACAATAGAAAAACCACAAACCTCCTCTACTGGAAAATCCCCTGTTTAACTGATTGTCCGAGTTTTAGCAGTGAATTTTATCGTCTGAACTGAAAAAAATAATAGGAATAGGGAGTTCTGTTTTTTGGAAAGTATTCTATTTTAAGGAAGAATAGGAATAATTTTTGGACATAAAAAAACGTTCGGTTTGGCGTGAAAATGTGAAAATGTGGTTTTTTATGCCAGTCCCATTGGATTTGACTTAGACTCGACTTCAAAATAACGTTTTGGATAGGTGAATTAATTTTTTCAAGGGGGGTGTCGTCATCGTGTTTGGTGACGGAGAGGGGAGTAAGAAATACAAACCTAGATCAAGTAAATTATCAGGTCCTCTCATTTTAAAAGACCAAATACCGATTGAAATTTTTTTCACAGGGCCTTAAAATTTGATGAGGTCCGGCAGTTATTTTTATTAGTTCCTATGCATGTAATGCAATAGGAACTATTGTAATCACTCTTGCTATTTCCTATGTTTTTTATTGTGTGTAGTGTGTATGTGTGTGTGTAGACATTTATGCAAATGCGCATGCGTCAAAGTAAAGTTTTCCGACATTTTGTTTTACATCACGATGCGAAAATCGATGTGAAGTTTCTGCAGAATTCAGTCTGGGCTCACGCTAACCGACCGGAATGTCGGCATGGATGAAACTATTTTGGTTTTACGGCAAAAAAATCATCTGCTGTAGGCATAGGTATTTTGAAGAAGGCCTAAAATAAAACTAAAATGTTTTAATACTTGCTGAAATACATCGTTTCTTCATTTAGATCTCCATTTTTCACGTGTTTTTCTGTTGTATACGTATGAGTAGTCATATGAAGGTACTATATCCCCGACAGTTGGCTGTGCAGCAATGTACCCTTTGAATGCAAACTGAAAACAGGTGAAAATATAAAGGCAGCCGACTGTCGGGTACATAACGACTATCTAGCTTTCCACAAAAACATTAGGCCTAAGCTAGGCCTAGTTCAGTATTACTGCGATGCAAGGGTAGGCCTAGTTAGATCGTTCAATCAATGATATCGTGTTATCGTCTAATACAATTAAATAATGTGTGTAATATTTAAGAATGCACTGTGTATAAGAGACAGGTAAAGATGTTTATTTACAGGAGAGCACAAACAGACTCACATAAACATTGTTTTTATCTGCACATTAAACACTTTATTCAAACTAAAAATTATTAAAATCAGTAACCATATTCAGGCATAGAAGTTGTATTACAATGTTAAGAACTTCATCGCATATGTTAAAATATGAATATAAGAGGCAATGATTAGTCATTGTGACTATGTCGTATGTGTGATTGGAAAGAACCAGAAGATTAGTTCCACTTTTGTCTTGTCTGTTTGCCCTGCTTACAAGACGCATAGGGAATCTTTGTTGAGTATTATTGGAGAAATCCCACGTTATATAAGTTTTATGATTTGCTAGCCAATGAACATGCCCAGGTCAAACTGGCTAAACTTTTATATTTTGCATTTAAAAGAAGTCCTCATTAGAAGGTATTGTATGGTAATATTATTTTCTATGGGCTGGAGGACTAAGCATTTAAATAAAGGCAGGCTGAAATTATGCCTGGAAGAGAGAGAATTTCGAATAAAAATCAAATTTTATTTTTGGCCAATTAGCACACCCGCTGCCGCAAAAATGTTTTCTTTATTTTTATTACGCCCGCCGCTGCCTTGAAATCTCCAAAAATAAATTATATTTCTTCCTATTGATATAATGCACTTGTCAATTGTAGTCAACAATACAATTTATTTTTATTTTATCCTCCATCAGGATGTTTTGGCAAAGCTATTTGCTAAAAAAGAAAAAAATTGTTTTAAATTTTTTTTTTCACCTCTGCTGGGGATCTTTAAACAAAATATATACTTATATATACACTTATATTCTTATATACTTATATATAATGTACACTTATATATAAGTATATATACACACACATAAACATATATATATATATACATATGTATATATATACGTATATGTATATATATATATCAATATATATGTATGTATATATATATATAAATATATATATATGTATAAATATATATATGTATATATATGAATATATATATGTATATGTGTATATATATATACGTGTATATATACATATATGTATATGTATATATATATATATATATATATATATATACACGTATATATACTTCTAAAAGTCGTGTATCATGCATAGGAACGTTGACGCCTGCAAGGCTCTGGTTTGGCTTTGAGCCCACCTAAGCACAGAGCTACATCATTACAAATAGTGTAACTTTTACTAATGGCTGCATAGGAACCTCTGCCCTAACAGAGTTAGGCTTAAAATTTAAAATTCTTATGAAAAACATGCATCAATGATCTTTCAACAGAATCCTTGTAAGTTCACATGGAGCCTGCACATTGGTGGCTTTTTATACTTTGTTTCTTCTGACATAATTTTTTTCCCTAATATAAATCATGTACATGTTTTGTTATATCAATTATAAGATGTACTTTATGTTTGAATTTGATGTTGATTTTAGAAACTTGTTGCTGCTAAGAAGGAATCTAGAGAAGCAGAAAGAGCAAAGAGACGCGAAGAGCGAGAGAAAGAAAGGGATAAGGAGTTGCAACATAGAAAGAGGAGGTTAGTTTATAATAATTTGCCAAGACAATAAAACATAATCACATAATCCTACTTTAATTACTTGCGTCTCTTATGACCAATCTTATTTTTAGTCACCGTCTGTTTTTATTATCCACATCTAGTATTTTTATGCCTATCAAACCATGTTTTATCAATGAGGAAGAGTACAGGAGTGCTTAAAATATTATTTATGTATAACCTGATTTTAAATTGCCAAGACTTGCGTGGTACAAACACTTATAACCCCTTACCATTATGTTATATTTTATACTTTTTGTTTTAAAATTCTTTTTAGTTGTTGTTCAGCTCTTCATTCAAAATTTATATCATTATAGCATTACTGCAATACAGTTTAGAGTTCATTTCCACATCGTATGATGATTTAAATATGTTTATATTTATATGTATTGTTTGAAGGTTTGCATGGCAAAGTAATAATAATTGCTGCAAAGCAGCCAATTCATATTCTTGACAGCAATTTGACCTCTGAAAGGTATTGTTTGTCAAAAAACAACTGCCTAAGACGACTGAAAGGCGGAGTTTCCTTCTTTCGTTCTGCCGGGTAAAATCAATTACTTTAGGCGACGTTTGTAGACTAACCTACTCGTACCAACGTCCGCATGTCGCGCTAGCACTCTAAGCCTAGACTAGCTAGGATGTTACAGGCCTAGCCTTGAAGGGACAAAGGTCCCAATGAAAAACAATGTCGCTCTTTGATAGCTAACATTGTCTATTTAACATCACAATAATTCATTATTAGACCTATAGTTGTTTTTTGAATTGTACTCCACAAGTCTCAGCCGATACCTCGCACAACTAGTTAACATCTCTATCTATTGTCGTAACGTCATGGCTCGCTGGCTCACACTTGTGATGTCTCGCACTTGTGATCAAATAACACGCTGGCTCGCACTTTGGCAACACTCTTTGGCAGTCAACTCGCCCCTAGAAAACCCGCCCTTGGAAACTTGCCCCATAAAAAAATGTACACTTCTCAACTACATTTTCCACATACATAGAAATTTTTGAAACTTTAAAAAAAAACCTAAACCATAATTCACCACTATAGACACTTTTTGACAAATATGATAATATAGACAACGGGTCGTGTCTCATATTATTTGTTATATTTTTATTATTCATTATTTTCACTTGACCCGCATAAATAATTTTGTGCGAACAACATTTATATGCAGTTGTACTTCGCAGCACTTCACTTGCAATTTGCAATTTCTAGTAGTAATATATTAACGCTTGCGGTACACCATGTAGATAGTTATTGGTTGAGAATGTCTATATATGTAGTTATAATAAATTTGTAATTTCTTTATAAGATCACGGTCTCGAAGTAGAAGATCTCGCTCCCGAGACAGACGTCGCAGATCAAAATCTCGTGAAAAAAGCAGACGTTCACGTGAACGCCACAGAAGATCACGATCACGTTCAAGGGATAGACGTAGACGGTCGCGTTCAAGAGAAAGAGCTAGTCGCAGACGTTCCCGTTCCAGAAGTTACGAAAGAAGATCACGTTCGCGTGACAAACGCTCTTGTGACCGCAGATCTCGAGAAAAAAGTAGTAGAAGGTCAAACGATAGGGAAGACAGAAATGGAGACAGAAGAAGTGTCAGTGTGGATTGATAGCAGCAACAAGTGATTTTATGCTATCTATTCTGTAGTCCTGTTTTTTACAAAAAAAAAATATTCTTTGCAAAGATTAAAGTATTGTGTACATAGTAGGATTGATGGCATTTTAATGTTATAGGCATGAAGGCAACATTATTGTTAATCCTAATGTTTCACAGGGATGATGGCAACATATTGTTAACCTTTAATGTTTCTTAGGGATAAGGCAACATTGTTGTTAATGCTTCAGTGGGATAATGACAACATTATTATTAACCTTAATGTTTCATGGGGATAATGGCATATTGTTTAACTTTAATGTCTCAAAGGCATGTTGGACATTATTGTTAGCCTTAATGTTTCATGGGGATGATGGCAACATTGTTGTTAACCTTAATGCCTTATAGGAATGATGGCAAGTTTAATTTTGTGTATGTAAAATTTCCCTAGGAATGTTGGCAACATCGTTATTGTTAATTTTTTATAGTAATGATTGCAATGTCTCATTTATACTTTTTAAGAAATATAGTAACATCAGTTTTGTTAATTTAATATTTCTTCAATCTTCACATTAGTTTATGCTTTTCATGCAATCAAAACACTTTCGATTAATACTGTTAATGCTTCTTAGGACTGCATGCAACATTGATGTTGTTTCCTTAATGTTTTGTAGGATTGAAGATAAGTTAAAGTGCCCTTTAATATTTGTAAGAACTGATATCAACCTTAAATAATGTGTAATTTTAATGCCTATGATTGTACTAAAGTAATATTATATAATGTTTAGATATTGCAATTCTGACAAACTTTTTCAAGTTGGTTGCTTTATGTAAATCAATTCAACAGCTATATCAAGTAAATATTGTAGTATTATGGCAGCAATTTTTTATTTAGCATGCTAACTACAGCATAGTATGTCTGGTATGAATTACATTTTAGTTTGTATACAGTAATGCATTCTCATTTGATTTATTAAATCCTAATATTAGAGTATATAATCAATAACAATGTTGTATATAATTGTTTGTGCAGATGATTTTTTCAATTCCCAAATACTGTAACTTAAAATGATCATCAGCATTGGCGGTGTGGTAATACTGTGCATTTGAATGTCATTGTAATGTGATAAACATCTCAGTGGTGTGGTAATAATGTGCATGCATTTGAATGTCATTGTAATGTGATAAACATCTTGGCGGTGTGGTAATACTGTGCACGCATGTGAATGTCATTGTAATGTGATAAACATCTTGGCAGTGTGTTATACTGTGCACGCATTTGAATGTCTGTGGCAGGTCTTGTAATTGAGTCAGCGTGTATATACAGTATATTTCATGATACTTTTATGATGACTTTGTGATGATAGTTTGAAGATTTTCTTTGATATTAAACATACAATTATTACTGTAGAATGTTGTGTTTTCATGTAGAACTGTTGTGGTAAAATGGAGTTAACTAGTCTCATATTAGAAAATAATTCAAAAAGGTTATACAATAATTTTACATAATCACCAAATGGCTCATTTGCCCTTCAGCAGTTATTTTTTCTTGATGCTGGGTGACCATAAGACTTAATGCCCAGCAGACTAAGGTAATGAATTTAGTTTTATCATTAATTTTTTTGGATGGATGTAATCAACTTAACGTTCTTATTTGCTCTGTATGCAGATTGTCGATTATCGAGTATGTTACTCTGTAAAAACGAAGAAGTCCTGGACAGTAGGACACATTCACAATCACAAATCAATTTATTCAATCCTACATAAAATCATAATAACGTTTCAAAAAAGTATACAAGAAAATTGAAATTGTAGGATCTGGTAGACTCTCATTAAGACCAGAGGTCACAAGCATTAGAGCCACCCCGAAAAATTAAATAATTAATGAAGGTTTGAAAAGAAAACAGAAGAATTGTAAACATTTTCCTTCTTAAAATAAAATATGAAATCCAGTTTTATTTTCATTTTGAGGATCTTCAACGAAAAAAGCCAAGTTGGAAACCGATAGATAGTTCTCAAGAGCATCCCGACTGGCTTCTGTAACTGAGGACGCACAACTGCAGATTTAAATGATGACGGAAATATTCCTGGTTACACGCGGAGTGAGCATGTACATACAGCTAGCATATATGCAAGTATTATTATAATCACAACATTAGAGCCTTCGTTCAATCTGTTACTGGTATTAACATCCGGTTTGTTTTATAATTGTCGTGAACTGAATAAAATTTCGAAGTAAACATAAAAGAAGATGATTTATTAATGTTAAGCAACTTTTTTATTTTGTCAAGCATGTTTATTTTGTTTTGTATATATTGTTTCTTATAGGCATGAATAAAAGGAACAATTAAAAAAAATATGGCGTATGTCTTCTTGCATGACCCATTTGTTGTACTGTACCTATTGTAAATGTGTTAAGATTGGTCGAGTAAATATATGAAATGAATGAATGCATTGAAATGACAGATGGATGAATCCTTCACGTTAAGCGTGATCTATCGTAAATAGCACCAGTTGACCACACTCTCATAATTTTCGAAGTCCTAGCTTCACAATCGGGCGAAGTTTCTTAGCTTACAATACTGGAACTTTAATTGAACAACAAATTAGCATTGTATTTGCATACTGACAGTAAATGTATTACCTCAATGTATTAAATCCATCACTTGTTTTATTTTTGCATTGATTAAAATACAAGTTCATACAGCGACTGAATCGTGATGCCTACACCCACAGAGTAGCAGATCGTTCATGCTCACACAGACTTGGAAATAGCGCAAACAACTATTACAGTAAATAGTATTTTGTATTTTTAGACTGACAGTAAATGTATCAAACTTCAGAATCTACTATCAACCACTTGTCTTATTCTTGCATTAATAATACAAAGCCCATACAAAGGCTGGATCTCGAGTTCGTAAAAGTGAAATGGTAAGTCCTGTGTCGATCTACCTAAAGTCAACTGATTCCTGATGATGACATGATTAATGACAAAATATTGAATCCCGACACGATGGCGTGCATTTCGATACTTGGAGTATGTGTTATCTGAGATAGTAATCAGTGGATCTTTCGGATTTTAACACTGTTCTATCAAAATCAAACACTGCATTACTCGCTATACTGCAGTTACTCTCAATGCTCTCGAGCGATGCACAGAACAGCTAATCACTGAGGCTGACGCAGACTTGGAAACAGCGCATGCGCAAAATACGTTCTATAAGGATGATTATGAATAATCTTGGAATAATTTATGAGATTTTACCAAACTATCCTATGTTACGCAAATTCACGTACTATCCTATATTGGAAATGCCAAGCGACCTCAAGTTGACTTATTTTGGACGTACTTGCCTATATTGGAAAGGCCTGGTGCCCTCAACTTGACGTATTTTGGACAAATTCCTGCGTATTTTGGACTGTTATTCACCAACCCTAATGGCAAAATCATCATCTTAATTTTACAGAATTTTATGATTTTTGTGTTCGCGTGCATATTTATCTTACTGACGCAGTTTAGCCATAGAAACCTTTCATATCCTACAGAGTTTTAATATTACCGTTGTGCTTTTGTTGTAATTTAGGTAGACTTGTATTCGCTTTTATAGTTACTTTATGCATTAACTTTTAATCAATTCGTTTTTAACGTGTCTACTGAGGAAAATAATATTTAAAAAAAAAATTTAATTGAATTTATTTATTGTCATATACAAGCAAAGTACATGAAATTTGCTTTTTAGAGCGAGGAATACACACACAGATAAAATTACAAGACAACTATAAATAGAAAACTACAAAGTGCAAAAATATACAATAAATACATTACAGTCGAAGTGTGAAAGAGTAATAAAATAAAAGATGTGACTATCTGGTGAATACTTTGTTAAATAAATACGTTCTATAAGGATGATTATGAATAATCTTGGAATAATTTATGAGATTTTACCAAACTATCCTATGTTACGCAAATTCACGTACTATCCTATATTGGAAATGCCAAGCGACCTCAAGTTGACTTATTTTGGACGTACTTGCCTATATTGGAAAGGCCTGGTGCCCTCAACTTGACGTATTTTGGACAAATTCCTGCGTATTTTGGGCTGTTGTTCACCAACCCTAATGGCAAAATCATCATCTTAATTTTATTTACAGAATTTTATGATTTTTGTGTTCGCGTGCATATTTATCTTACTGACGCAGTTTAGCCATAGAAACCTTTCATATCCTACAGAGTTTTAATATTACCGTTGTGCTTTTGTTGTAATTTAGGTAGACTTGTATTCGCTTTTATAGTTACTTTATGCATTAACTTTTAATCAATTCGTTTTTAACGTGTCTGCTGAGGAAAATAATATATTTTTTTTAAAATTTAATTGAATTTATTTATTGTCATATACAAGCAAAGTACATGAAATTTGCTTTTTAGAGCGAGGAATACACACACAGATAAAATTACAACTATAAATAGAAAACTACAAAGTGCAAAAATATACAATAAATACATTACAGTCTAAGTGTGAAAGAGTAATAAAATAAAAGATGTGACTATCTGGTGAATACTTTGTTAAATAGATGACAGGCATAAGGCAAGGATGAGCTTTTACATATGTTTGTTTTCACACAAGGTTTGCAAATCCTACCTGATCTTTAAAAATTATATACTCATTTAGTGGATGAGTATTGTCAGTGATAATTAAATATAATTTTTTGAGCACAGATCGTCACACAGATCATTTATACTTTCGACATCCTTGCCAATGATCTTCTTTACTGCTTCAGTTATTTTCGATATTTGATGATTATTTTTCTTTGTTACACTTGGCAACCAGGCAAAATTTGTAAAGCTTCTTAAGGAAGAAAAGTCGTTGACTGGCTTTTGAGTACACAGATTGAGTATGTACACTCCAATTAAGATTATCATCAATGATAATACCTGGAGATATTTATATAGACTACTGTAAATGAATAATGATATGTAGATGCCCTCTATGTATAGTGCAATGACGTAATGGAACGAGACAGGACGTGTGAATCTGATTCTCTGAAAATCCGACTAAAATTACGCCAACAAATTTGTGGTACAAAATCAATCCAAATTACAAGTACCTATAGGTATCTACACAACTTGTGAATATTTGAGTGAATTTGTGAAATAGGTATACCCACAACATTCAGGTGTATAAAATATTTAAAGGGATCGATAGAATTTCAAGTAATACTTTTTTGAGCTTGTTAAAGAATCAAAAACTAGAGGTCATAAATTAAAAGTTATTATACCACGTTCAAAACTTAGAGTGCACCAGAAATGTTTTTCACATGCTGTATGCAGTACTTGGAATAATTTACCAAGCTATGTCATAGAGGCAGACACGTTAAATCAATTTAAATCTCGTTTGGAAAAGTGTTGGTGCCGTCATCCGCTGAAGTTGTCCCCATATGAATGTATTGAAGGAGGTTATACTCAGAGGGACACATAAGCTTCGGCTTCAGAAGTCTCGGTATCAAGGTAGGTAGAACATTCAATTTTTCGAGCTCTACGCCAGGCCCAATAATTCAAGATCTTAGCGATTTGAACTGACGGTCATTGACCTATCGCAAACGGTCATTGACCTATCGCAAGAAAGGTTGGACCGTACGTAACCTTAACCATAGTGCCAGGCGTTTCGCATACCAAGTATCCTGATCTTATATTGCGTATAGTATTGGATTTACGTTTATCGTTATTACTGTGCAACAAACTGTAAGTCTGTCTTATTTAACTTTGTAGATGGATTGTGTATTTTTACACCTGAACCCTTTTTTTATTTACGTTTTCACAAAACAAACACGGTCACTGGATAACAACACTTACGTTTTTCACCTTCCATACACTCACGTGACAATAATATTTACTTTTTAATCCATCAAGGATAAAACACACCGGCTGTTAATAATTGTTATACTACTCACAAACGAAGGCAGCTAGCTGTCTATTCAACCGACAATCAAGTATATCTAAATGTTATGGTAAATTCGCACTGTGCTTACTTAGTTTTATTTTAATTAAGCTATATACTGTAGCCTTTGAGTACTCAGAATGCCAGATAAATCTATGAAGGAAAAAAAAAACATTACGCAGTAGCCAAGGGCAAAAATGCAGGAATTTTTACAAAGTGGTCTGAGTACAGCTTAAGTAACACCCGTTACCCAGGGGCTATATTCGAGTCCTTCGATACTGAGGGTGAAGCACACATTGACCTATTACCAACGGATACTCAACTTGATTGTAGATTGCTACTCGAAAAACCTTACAGTTAAAAGAAAATAAACTATGATCTCAATTTGAAATTAATACGGAATGAAAACGATGGCCTAGTTAGAGAAAATCAAAAGCTTACTGACGAAGTAAAGCAATTAAAAAAAGAACTTAA